TTCACTATACATTTTGGCACCTTGATTGTATGAATTTAAGTGCAGTACAAGATTGGCAACTAAGTCACATCATTTTACAAGGAGTAAGCAAAATCAGTTTTTTTTCTTCCTTTTTTGTTTTTCTTCAGTTCCAACAAGCAGAATAAGAAAACTTAATTAATGTTGATCTGTTTAAGCTTGTAATTGTGTGATGAAAACATAAAATCAGATGAATGGTTACTGTTCATTTGTAGCTGAAAGCAATACATTAAATCTGATAGGATTGATAAAGTCAAATTGGCAGCTGATCCATAAAATGACCTACAATCTGTTATTAACTGGGGCAAGAAATCATTTATTAATTTTAATACCTCCAAAATGAATCTGGTCTCATTTAATCATCTTAGAGAACCTTCTTTGCCTTACATCAACATGACTGATGCCAACCTCCAGGAAAGTGACTCAGTGTGCCTGCTCTGGTTAACATTTTCTGCTGACATGAAGTGAAAAGAATATATTGAATCAATTGCTAGGTCTACTGTTAGTAAAGTTGATTCAGTGTTGTGCTAGACAATTTCTCTCCCCAGAATGTAGCTTACACATTAATAAGTCTATTTGTCCCTGCAGTGAATATTACTGTCTCATCTAATCTGGTGCTTTGGTTATGTATTTAAAGATTCATGCCAAAATTCAAAGAAGAATCTGTAATGTTATTGGTCCTAACTTGATATCTTAGCTTCAGTCACTTTCTCAATCTCATATTGTAGCTTCCCTGTGACTTTTCTAATAATATTTTCATAATTGTTCTGATGAGCTTTCCTCTTTGGCACCTTGATTGTATGAATTTAAGTGCAGTACAAGATTGGCAACTAAGTCACATCATTTTACAGATGAAATGGTTAAGTGTAAGATCTATAGCTAACAGTTTCTTCTTTTGCACTTTGCTTCACTTTTGGAATGTTCTCCCAACTTCTTGCTTCCCAGTCAACTTTGATCTTCAAAAATTTAAATGCAATGTCAATTGCCATATTTTGTCTTAATTCCAGTTCTTTTATTGTCCTTTTTCCTTATTAATGTCTTTTTTTCTGATTCTTTCAGTAACTTCTTCACATCTTAGTCATTTTATTGCCTTTTATATATATATATATATATATATATATATATAAATAAAACTACAACTATAGGTAAGATGTTCAATCAATAAAAAAATGTAATAATGTTTGAATTTAGAATTAGAAAGAAAATATTCATAGTTTTATTTTTTTTTTTTATCAAGAATCTATTCTCAATCATTCAAAGTTTCATATTTTTGTCTTTTTATTTGGTGTAAAAGACAGAGTGTAGTTTCATGCCATGTATTTTAAGGACTAGTCTATGAAGATGGTTCTGTAAACTCTAGTAGAAGTGGTAATCAGATGAAGCCAAATTAGGAGAATAGGCAAGGTGTAGAATTTTTTCCCCACCTGAGATCTTTTGTGATCTATGCTTGTATTATGGCCCATACATAAGGATAGAATTCCACACCTTTATGATTCATCAAATTGGTAATTTTTTTCCAGTCAATTTTCAATACTCAAATTACTGATCAAATATGTCTGCTGTAATCTTAACTGTGACTGATAGAAACTGAAAGTGGACCATGACAATGCAATTCCATGAAAAACACTTAAAAGAACTTTGTGGATAGTGGTCCAAATTTGCCTCCCTTGCTTTATATTCTTGTAGAATATCTATTTTCATCACCTGTCACTAAACCATCCATTGCTTTCATCTAAAGAATATTCATCATTATCATGAATATTTCAGCTAGAATCTGCAGCAATATTGTTTTTTTCTAAGTTCATAGAGTATTACATATCTTAAGTCCTCTGTAAAAACATGTTTACAAATGTATAAACATATACTAGTATATATAATCATTTACACATTTTAGAACAAACAATATATAAGCTATTGCCATCAGTTTGCAGACATTACTGAGGGGATGACTTGACAGGCTTCTTTTTTTTTTTAATAATGAAAATACTGTTCAATCTATAGATACAAGTTTTTGAACATTATTGACATGACCTGATACATGCAAAAATAAAGCAAGATAGGTTTGAAAAAAAAGGAAAAATAAAAAACCAATAAAGAAAACAAGAAAAACTTTTTAAACTCTTCAGATATTTCATGAACACATTTTTTATTATTAAGGAACAGCTTTTATGAACAAAACATCAGCATATAATTTCACAATTTTTTAGTACCTTTGTGTATATAATAGCAAATTTCAAAAAAACAAACCTACCAGTGTTCATGTAAACTGGGGAAAAAGGAAGCTCTTCAAACAATATACTTATTTTTAATTTTTATCAAATTATATTAGAAAGCACTGAAACAGACATTTTTATTTGAATGCTGATGTAGAGTTGATAAATGCTTTATTAGATCTGAGGTTGAGATGATTGAAATAAAGCTCTTCTGTTGATGCTGCAAAATGCTTTGAGGGTGGATGAAGATCAAAAATGGCTCAGGGCTTTGGTCTTTTTAGCATGCTAATATGGAAGACAAGATATGGATCAGTTGAAACCAGAACAGAGATTTTTTTTTCTTTTTTTCCAATAGATGTTACTATTCAATTCAAGGTTTTTTTTTTTTCTTAAAATAGATGTTACTGTTCAGTGTAACTATATTGGTAAAAAGCAAAAACTTTTATAAAAAATTTTGATAGCCAAAAATTAATTTTAGAAACTGCAATCAAGATGTAACAATTATAAATTCTTGATTGGTGGGGTTTCCTCTAAAAATTGTTTTGAATTAATTTCTGATTGATATCTTCATTTTTAATGTAAAAATTATGAAATGTATGAGCAAAATGCTTTTAGCACAAGGTAGTGTTGAAAAGTTCTGGGATAAAAAAATTCAGATTATTTGGTCTGCCAATTGAGAACTTTTTAGTACCTCCTTGTAAATATAGATTAATCTGAACAAATAAAAATGCTCTGCATGGCATTTTTTTTCACCTTGGTATATTTTATAAAACAGCAGTATCAGTTTGGAATAAAGGAAAGTGAAATCCCCTGTGTTGCTTGGAACTCTTCCTTTCTTTCATGTATTAATGCAACTATCACACTTTCCACAAAAAACATGGCATTAAGATTTTGAATAGAATTACAAACCTTGGAGAGAACAACAGAATTGGCTTTTCCACAGCATCTGCCTTTTGCAATCATTAATTTTATTTTTAGTTTTAACATATTAGACAGATATTGCTATGTATGAAAAAATCCAAGCCCAAATCTACAACAGCTTCTAGCTTATCATTTGATATTTTTTCTTCATTCAGAGCTTTTCAAAATTTCATCTAATTTCATTGATAAAGAAAGAAAATATGAAAAATGAATGATTATTTTGTTTTTAATAAAGTGAATTAATTTAATAAATTATTTGTTTGGACTGTTACACTCATCAGTAGAACAAAGGAGCTTGACAAGAAAACATCTGTTAGAGGAAACATCTGTATATATCTGAGATCAACAAAATAGAATTTTATTGAGAGGTTTGGTATTTATTTATATGGCTAGTTCAACTGTTATTTGAAGTAGAAACCATAATCACCTGTATACTGCTGCTCTACCACTTGATTAAAGCCCACAAGCCCTATCAATGCCTTGTCCTTACACTGGAGGTTTAAATTTGGGGCATGGGCCAAGCAATTTCACTTCTCAGAAATATCTAATCAGAGACATGCTTCAGAACAATTGTTTAACAATGGAGAAACTGACCAGCTGAAACAGGCCAAATAAGTTTTAAACAGGTTTTAAGAACACAAATATAGGGGAGAGGAGGATTAAAAATAAGCATTTCTCCTCCTGAAACTTTAAATCAGTAGACAACTGCCCATTATTGAAATCTGCCAGGAAATTATGAGGAACCATATACAACCATGATTTTCTATATCTACAAATTTCAAAGATTCATTTTGAGTGAGAAACCCACTAGTAGTCAGAGATTGTAAAAACTGTTTTGTAAAAGAAGTGTCAGAACATTAGTTGCCAGAATATTAACAGTGTACTTGTATAGTGAATTAATTTAATGTTTTTAAGCATTTGAAATCCTAGGAAATATTTCTATTTCTACAGAACTGAGACTGAACTCTATGTCAAGTTTTTAGTCCCTCACTGGGAGGTTGCCATTGGTTTGTGAACTAATTAACTAAACAATGAATCATGTATCAAAGATTAATGACTGTCTTCCTCAATGCCAATAGAAAGTAGACAAATAAATGTCCCAGTAAATTATGGCAAGTTTTAAAAAACAACTGATGAGTGTCACAGTCAAAAGAAAGAAATAATGAGCAATGATAATTTAATAGAACAAGTGTTACATGAAAAATTTAACTTTTTCTGAAAATTTAGTCAGCATTCAAATACTGTCATATTGAATAGATAGATTTGAAATTTCATAATTTTCTCAATGTTTTCTTTAGAAAACATTTAGAAATGAGCAAGATTCATATAGAAACAATATTGTTAACAACATTTTGTAACATAACATTCTTAAAGCAGTCAATCTGTGATAAAAACCATGAAAAACTATATATCAGTAGGACTTTTGCTCTACTGTTTGTTAAATGTTTTCATACAAAGTTTGCTTTTATGTTGGAATTTATATTCTGAGCTGTTCAGAATTATTAAAACAAAAACAAAAGAAAATCATCAAAGTTTGCTTTGCAATACGATAACATTCAAACACTGACTAAGTTTCAATAAATCAATAACAGTGTGTGTGTGTGTGTTTAGTAGCATGCTTATTCTATGTATATAAATTCTTTAAATAGTAAATTCACATTTGCATAATGAGAGGCAAAGTTGGGTAGATCAGAACATTTCAAAAAATGTATGCATTTATATTGTTATAATACCATTTAATATTTTATAATTATCATTTATGCAAAAGCTTGTACAGATAAATAGAAAATACATATTTATGTCTGTATGAGTGAGTGAGGAAGAGGAGGATGAAGAAGAAGATTGTGCTTAGTATTTGTCCAATTGTTGATAATCCTTGTTAGGAACTGGCTCTGTGACTACATAGGGTGGAGGCCCACTTGGTTGAGGAGCAGTTGTCACAGTAAGACTTTCCTCAGTTTGGACACTTTGTAGAATAGTGTCTTCAGATTTTTCTTTCTCTTCCTGTAAATAAAATAAAAAAAAGAAGAAAATACAAAAAGAATCAATTTAACAATGAAATGACAAATCAGTTCAATTTTACTAAGATGGATAACTCCAGATTTTCTCATTATAAAATTTGTTTTTACAAGTGCCATAAATGTAAGACACACTGATTCAGTTTTCATGGTATTTCCACATCTGTTCTGTATGTATGACCTGCCAGGAGAGAAGCTTATAAGGCATTTTTCATTCTTACAAATATATTAACTTATTTTTCTTTGCATTTCAAGTGTCTTTATGCAGCTTTTTGTATGTGTGTCAACAGGAATGGTTAAAGAAGTAAACTGACATGGATTGCTTGTTGTTTTATCTTGTGGAGAAAAATTAGTGTTTTGCTTTTCAAAGGCAGTTATAATGAATTTGATTCAGGCTGATGATCTCCCAACACAAGTAAAAATAAAGCCTAAAGTATTATGAATATTCAGAGTTAATCAGAAAAGAAAAGAAAAAAAACAAAAAACAAATGGTGATAAAAATAGGAATATGAAATGCAGTTTTTGGTCCAAGTCTGCCAACTGACATAACTTCCTAACATTTGATATCCTTTTTTACAGACAACATATGAAAGAATTTCTACAAATTCACAGTTACTTACATTGTCAAGTTATTTTTTTATGCAACTTAATAAATCAAATTTTAAATTGCTAAAAAGATTTTTGTCAGATTATACCTATTTTGGACTAACAGATTCTAACAACTTTACTAGTCAATGACGATCCTGTAAAAATGGTCAAAATATAAAACATTTCTTATGTATATATAACCAGGATTTCTATCTAAGCTGTAGGAATTGGTAAATTTGCAGTAGAAGCACCAAAAGCCCCTGGTATTGAGAATGTACCATTCCAGTGTGAAATTGCCTGGTTATTTTAAAAGTGGCATTAAAACATTACACTCAATTACCGTTTTGGATTTATCGTCAATGTAAATTCAATCTTTTTCATGTTGTCCATCTGCTATTACTAGCGTTGTTTACATGTTTTCCTCTAGTTATAATGTGCAGAAGCTTACTTAGTTAATGGCCTTTTTTACAGCTTTACGTATCTTACTCATCTTGATTACGGCACAATTTTAGCAGATGTTATTTTAAAAATGCACTTATTTTTTAAAATGAAGTTTTAAATGAGTAGTATTTTTTCTTTACTGTCCTTAATAAATCTGCTTATAGCTAATGAAACAGAATCTCACCCTAAAACGTAATTTATAAAGCTTTAAATTCAAGAAAATTTCATGATATATTAAAAAAAAATTGTTGAAAAAAAGAAAAAATTTTTTTTTTTTTTTTTTACTTTTCATGCATGTAATTTTTATTTTATTTTAATTGTCAGATTTTACGTTTTTTTCATACATTATTTCACACATTCATTTCAAACTTTGTAATGGTGGATATTCTGTGTATGCAACGAGAAAGAAGTTGAACTTTTATTGTCCATAACTTCTAAACAGTAATTGAGTGCAATGTTTTGTCATTTTCAAAATAACCAGGGAATTTCACATGGTACATTCTAAATACAGGGGACTTTTGGGGCTTATACTGCAAATTTACCTAAGAATTTTTATAACACAAACCCAGACATGTTTTACATACCAAACTCTTAGCCCGATAATATTCATCAATGGCAGACTGATACTTAGGTGAAGTGATACCAAAGAACCAGGCTAGCTTCTCTCCACAAGTGTCAGCAGCTGCAATAATGAGGAAAAAAGAAAAAAGTAGATGTTGTATTCAATAATGTATGATATTAACCTACATTAAAATGTATGGATAATGGAAGGTACTGATCCATTAAAGGAGCATTGGAAATTCTTAGAATATCACATTTCTAAAACAAATATTGGGCAACAATTATTTTCAGTTACTAAATTGTCTTTTGAGAAAGAAATACTTGCAGAGTTTTCAGAAAGTTTGCATAAAATTTCATGTAAATAATCTATTATTTATTTACATTATAAGCAATACAATGTAGACAGAAAAAGGATTTATATTTTGAAAAAACTTACCACTGAATGTTTTAGTAAAAGTTAAAGCTAAATAATACCAAATCCATGGTAGCCACTGGAGTGAATGCTGAAAATATAGGATATTTTAGAGAATTACAAAATACAAACCAAAGCATTTCTTTCAAGATTCTCTTAAAGTAAATTCATCTTTTTGCATTACTAAATTCATGAAAAGAGTACAGGAATGAATTTGGAGTTATAAATTGTGCTGGTCTGACCAAACAAATCTAATTGAATCTTGCAACCAAAACTGGAACACTTGCTTTTGATAGCCATTTTTCTTCATTTCATGTATAAAATAGCTATTTTGCAAATATTTCAGTAGTTTAACATTATGTCTCTGATTAGTTGCCACAATCCATGCTGAGATACCAGTTCTTAATCAAATTAAGTAAAATTTCATGAAGACTTTAACAGTGAAGAGGATAAAGAAAAATAATTTTAAATAAAGTAAAAAAAAAAAAGAAAAAAAAGGATATTTCTAAACATAATGTTAATATTAGCTGTTTCCTTACAAGGAAACATTTGACATTCATTTAATGGGAGCTACTGCTGGTTGAAATTTATAAAATCTTTCTCTTAAAACAATTTTTCAGTAAAATAGATTTCTTAAATCCAGTATTATTGTTATTGTTCTTTCCAGAATTGATGGAGGTTTTTCTTCCTAACCTTTTATTTGAAGTAGTGTGGAATGTCAACATCTTGATTATGTCATTATTTTCTCTTTGAGTTACCTGTGCTATTTCAATTGTTGCTGCTGTTGAAAGTCCTCAAGATAATTACTCTGAATGTCATAATGACACACAGCTTCAACTACAAACAAGAAATTGTGGAGAACTATTGCCCATATTTTCTGAAAAACTACAACTATATTGTGATTGTTAATAAATTCCTAAGATCAGAATTTTTTTTTACTAAATTATTTTTGAGAAAGAACTGAAATACATATAGGACTTATGACTGGTATAAATCCAATATTTGTATTAAATGACTGGCTCTGTTAACACCATAGGTATTAAAATATGTTGCCTTATAATAAAATATGGTGAAAAAATACCTCTGAAAATCAGATATGTTAACTGAATTAGTTGTACATCAGATACTGACACTGAGCAATATATATCTTATCTTACTTATTATAAAACACAGATTGTCTGTGTGTGTGTGTGTGTGTGTGTGTCTGTAACGTTTATATGTTGGATCGAATTTCCTACATTTTTAGCCGATTTCAACAAAACTTCACAGGACTACATAAAATTACCTTGTGGTGGTTCTAACGGGGGCCGAAAATGGGAAAAAAACACAGTTGTTTTTTTAATAAAATCAATTTGAAAACACGATTAAGACACATCGTGAGAATGAAAGGGGAGAACTCACCCACGAAAATGTAAACAAAAAGAGCATAGCATGATGAAAAAGACGCCAAACTTGACGAAAACAAAATTTTATCGTCTAATGTTCATATTATTATTAAAGAGGAAAGATCAAAGTATTTTGGGGGTATTTTTACATTTTTAATTGTTCCTAGCACGTCTGAAATTTTCATTAAAATATTGTTTTTTTTTTTTTAAAAAAAAGGACAGATAATCATTTTCAATCATTTTTTTTCGATTTGATAAAAAGATTAAAATCTTACTTTGATATTCTTTTTAAAATCAATTATCATTTTTTTTCAAAACTGATTTTAATAAAAATATTTAAAATATTTTGAACCAAGCTTAACTTAGCTTCTGCGCCCGAAAAAAATGTAATTTGAAAATAAAACAAAAGCAGGTCATAACCTTTCGCGTTAAACGACAATTGACGAAAGGCACATTCATGACGTTTAGATAACTTACGGGAGGAGAATTCTTTCTACGGATGGAAGGAAGTGAAATTATTTAAGTGAACCAATTATTTACCTTGTTACTTTTAAGGAAAACTTTCAGCGCTCTAATTTTTTATTTATTTTTTTTTTGTACTTAGCTTTCATTTTTACGTTTACAATGTTTTATGGAAAATATAAAGAAATTAAAAAATAAGACTGTTAATAGTGAGATTAAATTTCATAAGAAAAAGGTATCTAATTAATTTAGGTACCTTTCTTATGAAATTTTATCAGAAGTGTACATAAAATACTATAATTTTATGTACATTTATTACATTTTACTGTGTTATTTGTATTTCCATTCATTTTATTATTAATTTTGATATTTCATTTATGGAAAAATGTCATAACTGAGATTAATATAAAAATAAGATCATATAAATTAAAGTTTAGCATCAGTAGTTAAATTTCATAAGATGATACTGTTACTTGTAGGGACCCTTCTCAGTTGAAATTGAAAACTCAAATTAACTTCTCCATACGTGTTTCGCAAAAGTAAAGGGCTTAACAGCGGAGAACAATGCTGAACTCAAATAATGCAACTAAATTGTATTCTGGTTGGTCTTCCGTACTTGATAATTACTGTCCGACTATAAACACAAAAATTATATTTCTTAATTACCATGGCTAATCTGATTGGTCCAAATTATACAATTTTCAAAGCGAATTTCTAGAGTTTTTCATAAAATTAGTTATGGGGGTGTTAATAAATATAAAAAAAAATATTTCTGCCATGACTTTAATAAAAAAAAAAATATTTATAATAATTTCAATCATCTGTGAATAGTTTCTGAAAGTTTCATTAACATCTGACAATTATTTTTATTTTTGCAAGATTTTCCAAATTAATGTGTGTAAATACAAAAAAATGTGCTAAAAATTATCTATGTTATTTACTACCCCTTGTTGCGACAAAGAGAAACAAGGTTTTTTAAATCAAAATTTAGAATATTCTAAAAAGATGGAAAAATTTTTTTTAAATAATTAAAAAAAAATTTAGTCTATCCTCTTCATAAAAACAAGCATTTTGACGATAAAATTTTGTTTTCATAAACTTTGGCGTCTTTTCCATCAGACTATGCTCTATGTTTTAGCGATTCCGTGGAGTGACTTAGGTTAAAAAACCCAGGTTGTTTATGTGTGTGTGTGTGTGTGTGTGTGTTCCTTTATATATGGGATCGGATTTCTTACATTTTTCAGCCGATAAAACAAACATCCACTTTTTTTTTTTTTTGAGAGTAGTATTTCTTATTGTCTTGCACACATTTTTCTTTATTTACATTCAGAATGCTTTAAAAATTCCATTTACAAGACAATTGTTTATAATAAAATTCTATTCACCAATCGATAGACTCATAACGATTGTAAACAATGTTTTTTGTTTGAATTTGGGTTTGACTAATTAAGTAAAAAAAAAAAAAAAATTAAGACATGCGTGTCTGTCAACCTTAAACAATAATCTTTGTCAATTTTATTTTTCAGTCTTTATGATGGTCGATACTTGATCTATCTCTTACTGTTACATCCCGGGCAACGCAGTTTGTCTACTCTATATATATATATATATATATATATATATATATATATATATATATATAGAGAGAGAGAGAGAGAGAGACTTCAATACCCCCACATAATGATAAGACATTAGTAACAAAGGTGTTTTCATCGAGCTAATGTCTTAGCATTATCTGGGAGGTATTTCTACTGCACCTATATATATATATATATATATATATTTATCCAGGTAAAATGAGAACAAATGGAGTGTAGGGAGACCACAGTTGTTTTCCCTTGGTTTGAGCTCATGGGAGTTTGGCCCCTTTAGAAAGGAGAACTCTTCTGTCCCTTTTTAGTTTTTGCTTCTGTTTTTTTGAGGAACAGCTTCTTTTACCTTCCTGACCACCAGGGCATCCACACATGCGGAAACTGGTCAACATGTGCACGGCCTAGCGAAAGAAAAAACTTATCTGCAGACTATCAAAGGCCATATAGCTGGTATGTTATTTTTTTGTCCCTGTTCTGTAAACCTCCTCATTCCTTTGGGACAATATGATCAATCATTTGTTTTGGGACATATGTAAATCTTTTTAATATATGTATGTAAGTTGTTTGCCTTATTAAATGTTTTGTTTGTTACGCTCGCATATTTCATCTTTCTATATTTGCATTCAGTGTTAGTGTATTAATGGCTACACTAATGCTAATATTAGTATCGGTGTGCTACTGGAAGGCTAAAACACGTTATTCTTCCTAACACAAAATAGTTGGTAAACTCTATGTGGCTGATAGCCAATACTAATAGGAGTATAATTCCATTGTATGTAACATTTAATTTAAAAGAGGGCTCAATACAGAGTAGACTTAAATATTATTTATTTTAGGATATTAAAACTTAAAATTTGCTACATAATGGCAATTATTTTTTCAACACCTTCGACCCCTTTAAGAAACTGGTAAATAATGTTGATAGTATAGGGGTATACGGAGATGATGGTCTTATGGTAGTAAGAAATTCTACTAAAATCAAGGTTGACAAATTAAGGAAAATGATTCATACAGAATTTAAAAGCCTAAATCTTAGGTTAAGGTAACTACTAATGTTAAATGGGTTGATTTTCTTGATGTTATATTAGATCTTGTATTAGATGTATTCCAACCTTATATGAAAAATAATGCTAACCCTGTATATATTCACCCCAATTCTAACCACTGTCCATCTGTAAAAGGACATAAACCCCCATCTACAGAACATAGGGTTAGCAACAACACATCTGACAAAGATGTGTTTGATAAATACAGCAGTGTTTATAATACTGCTTTAAAAAATAGTGGTTACAAGCCTGCTGAAATCAAATATAGAAAATCTGATAATATTGATCTAAGGAAAAGGAATAGGATAGGAAAATCATTTGGTACACACTCCCATTTAATCAATTAGTCAGTACTAAATTAGGCCAGAAGTTCCTCCATTTAATTGATAAACATTTCCCTAAAAGTAACCCTCTTAATAATTTAACAGAATTTAACACACTAAAACTAACTTATAGCTGCACCAATAACCTTGAGAAGATTATAAAGAAACATAATAATAAAATTTTAAACCAATTTAAAAATTTGGATAGCAACACAAATCCTAAGATAAATACAGTTAATAATATTAACCAATTGTAACTGCAAGGATTCTTAAAAAAATACCC